TATTGAACTCACATCTCTTTGGGTCAAGTCCCAGTGATGTTCTTTTGCTCGATGTTGTAGGGATCGTCAGCTAGCTACAACATCGAGCAAAAGTCCTATGTGTCGATCCAGAGGCATATGAATAAGAAATGGTCATTATAAATATATAACAACTACCCTGGGTACATGACAGCAGTCCTGACAAACCGTAAAATCTAGTAGGACGTTTAGATTCCTGAGGTCAATATACCAAAAGAAGAAAGCTCGTTGGAACAATTATCATGAAAATATTTATAGAAAAGACAGAAAAAGGCTACGATATGTCGCTGATAAAGTTACTGAAGCCGAGATGCCTGGTCAGGACCGATAACATTACAGAGCTTGCTTTGAATTTTCTCAAGAATCTAGAAATTATATATGGGGGTATCAGACCAGAAGTGGCAGTAGTATTCAATGCACGGACGAATGCTATGTGTCCTTTTAATGAAAACTGTCAGATAAAAATGTGAAAAGCGACGACTGTCGTATTGCACAATGGACCAACAGAGAAATATTTTACACATATATAAATATAACCACAAATTATGAATAGAGGCAGTCAGCTACAAATCTAATATTGCGTTATCAAGGTACATATAAGGGGCAAAAGAAAAATATGACTGCAAACGTCAAATGGAAAATACTGAATAAAGATTGCGAATATTATTTACATAATTCGGACTATTGTCCTCATTTTTGTCACCGTATTTGTTACAGTAATAAATATGGTGACAAAGATGAGGACAATAGTCCGAATAATGTAAATAATGTACATAACACCTCATCTCAGAAATATAGACAGATAAAGATTGCGAATTCAAAAAAAGGAACAAAAGTCTGTAGGTTGTGTTTGGAGGAAAAAAATTATCTACAACAATATTCAAAGACCTGGGATGTTCTAACAAAACCGGCTTGAAGTTCTAAATGGTGGAATTACCGTAGCGGATGATGTATTTATATATATTTTCAAGGAAATGTTTTTGGAATTACTCTTACAGTTTATGTAATGGGAACTTTGTAAAAATCGGTTAGAACTGGTCAATTTTGGAATAGGTTTGGTCCCGTAATTGATTTATCGAATGAAAACTTTATTAAAAGTCTGAGTAAATGGTTGAAGAAACAAATATAACAAAGCATCGAATCTTTCTTAGAGCAAGAAAAAATATATGTAACTGTAGAAAGGTGTAATCACCAAGAACCTGAAGGGGCATTGTAGATCGAGAAGGATTTCGTGTAAAGGGCACTGGTGATTCTATTACTCCCGGAAGTACCTGAGCCGTTCTAGTGTGAATTATATTTAAAAGAGTCAGATTAAGCCAAATATGAAATAATTACTTCCATATTTGGATTGGAACTGTCCAGTGCGCACTTTTTCGTCTTGATATCAAAACTTTTTTAAACAGTCTTATTAAGAATGTGTTATTTCCCACAAGACAGCCTCTTTCCTCACAGTCGCAAATTTACAAACCTATAGCTCTTTCCTTTATCGCCACCGATTTAGTCCTTTATAGCTAGACCATGCAACATCCATTCAGTTGGAACATCCACGTTTTAAAGGGGAATTTCCACTCAGACAGTTTTTTGGCCCGAGAACTGCTACACTGGAATAAACTCCTGTGTGGGTACTTCCCAGAAAACTACAATCAGCGTCTTAATGTCAATGTTTAATTTCTGTCTATCCTTTTTATTTCCAGAATCTTCACTTACTTCCACCCTACAACTTCTTTCCACACAAACGAAACATCAAAAGCCTCTCATTGATTTATCGCTATTTCTACCAGTTCTACCCTTCACGACTAAGACCTGCCATGTCACCCAAATTTATTCTATTGGTGAGATCAAGTACCACTAGAGCAGCAGCTTCTCATGAACCCCTGATTTGTGAAACTGACACTCAAGAGGTGGGTTCCCCAATCACTACAATAGTCACCTGTTCAAATCTAAGCTTAACCGTTATCTTCCTCAAATATCCCCATAAACAAACTGTGCCTCTTACTCTGTAATCCTCTACCTCGAGTGGCTCTTTGACCTTGTACAGGGTGAACATATTGTAAAAAAATTTTTTAAAAACTCCTTTCACATTCGTACCACACACCTCATTTAGTAACGCTCTTGAGCCATTAAGCCATGTACAGAGTGAAAAACAACAAAAAAGGCGTTTATTTGTATCCATAATTTCTCTCTCTCTCTCTCTTTCTCTCTCTTTCCCTCTCTCTCCCTCTTATAGGCGTTTATTTGTGTGTATAATTTCTCTCTCTTTCTCCCTCTCTCTTTCTCGTAATATCGCTGCCACAGGAAAGTAACTTGGTATTCTAAAATGAGAAACAAAGAAAGTGAATGTGGCGAGTTGTGTAAAACTCTAGGAAAATAAAACACGCGTCTGTTTATGACATTGGAAGTGATGGATGTCTCGCGTGTGGCAGGGGTTCACTGTAATATACCTCCCTTCGTCTTTCTTTCTTTTTTTTTTTTTTTTTTTGTGCGAGTCACCAAGGTTCTAATATTACAAATGGAGACTAAAACGTGTCTATTCAAAAGTCCGCTTGACATCAAAAGTATTTTAAGAAGCTTTCAAAAGCACCGTTGACGTATTCATAGAATATGTAAACTTGTCTGACCTGCTTTCGTGTGGGTTTGAATTATTTGAGAAAATTATAAATGCTTCCATTTATTTATAAATTTAGTTAGTTTCAAATAGCTCCTGTACACACAACGGCACGTGCATGTTACGACAGTGCACTTTAAGAGTTTGCCAGAATCTCGTACTTTAAAGGAAGGATTAGAAATAGGTGTTGACAAAGCTATTATTATTATTATTATTATTGTGTGATAACATCTTGCCAGAGAGTAATTTTAACTACCAAATTACCAAATCCCTTCCGAGATCTATGAGTAAACAATTCAGTGTGAAAGAATTATCTATACACATTAGGGATGTTTCATTTCGATGTAGAGGGTTTTGCGAATGATATGCGCAGTTCCGTACAAAGTAATCCTTTGTAGCTCTGGGATGTTGATGTGTGTCCAGGAATTTGACTCATATGATTTTCGGCATCCTTCTTTACCCAATGCCCCGATCACAAAAGGGGTAATCGTCGTTTTAAGTTTTTGAAATTCTTTGTTAGAAACAATGGATTCGTCTGGGTAAGTCATATCAGTTATTTGGCAAGTTCCTTTTTTTGAAATCCTTTCTGACTATGGCTTATTTAAATCAATTTAGCGTAGGAATGTTAAATAGAAAGGAATTTCAGGGAGTTAAGTTTTACACGTCATACAATGTAGACATAGATTTTTCGTTTCTATGAAGCGGCTTCCCAGTGGGGGTGAGAGAGCGACCCCACTGTCTCGTTAGAAATGTTCACGCCGACGTGTTTAATAAAGTAGTAAGTTAAAATTCCCTTTATTTATGTCTTTTTCCTCACCGAACAAAGTAACTAGCGATCAGCGGCCGACAAAGAGGAAATCATTATTATGGAATCAACCCCGTCAATCAAGACCTCCCCAGAACGAGAGGGGAGTATACAACATGAGGATTTGGATATTCCACAGTACAGTCACTTCATCATTCGAGTGGTGTTTTGTCTATTATTTATGAGATATTTGTAGGGCGTAGCGTACACACAAAGTATTGTTGATTGATTTTGTTTTTTACGGCTTGTAAACTCTTTGTGATATAATTTTAATAATACACTGCTCGTAACAGTTTTTATAGTTATTTACTAACCGTAGCTTAGATGTGGCAAGTAAAACATGAAGTATTGGGGTTGATGGAAAGAAAAACTGTAGATTAGGGAGGCCTACTGCATAATCTCATATCTCATTGCTTGTGGATGTTACGATAGTAGCATCAAGGTCTGAAGTGACTCTTTGATTTTATGTGTTTTTATATTGTAAGCAACACGGCAACAAAGAAATAATAATGTTTGAAAATAGCACATGTGCTCAATTCATATCTGAATCAAACTCTCAACAGAAGAAGCAACCTATACAACATATGTAAGATGTTTCTTTTATTACATCAGGAGAAAACGTGACTTTTAAAAGCTAAGAAAACTTTGGTAATTAATAATTTTAATTTTTTTCTTTTTTTTTTCTTTCTTGGAGATAAAGTATAGTTATAGTGTTCCTGCTTTGGGCAGTTCTAATTTCAAATTTATACATGAATTGTTTTAAGTTCATGATATGTCCCGGAAAGGGATATATTTGTTCGAAGTAGCAAAGTGGTTTTGGACTACTGTAACCGAGTAGGACAATCTAGCAGGTAACTATAACGGACTGGTCCTCATTGTAGTGGTAGGCAATAGGCGTAGGCAATAGGCGAAGTCTATAGGCGGACCAATAGGCGTCGTCAATAGGTGTAGTCAATAGGCGTCCTCATGTACCTCCACATCAGTCTGTATTTATGTCTGTCAGCAGTCAATAATATTACTGTGAGGGGGAACCCAGGTGTATGCATATTCATTACATCAGTTCAAAAAGTTAAAAACGTGCCACCTGTAAAGAAACTGTCTTTGAAAATTCTTTTTCTAAGCAGTTTCACATAGCGAATGATAATGAAAAATGAAAATGAAAACCTGCACAAACTAGCAGTATCCTTTCAGTTTATATTGACTGAAACCTAATACGCTTCAGATCTAATCATTTTAAGACTGGCTTGTAGTTGAATGTAGATTCTTCTAAATTTAGGCTTACTTCACTACAATTTGAACAAGATCTTCAGGTTCAGAATCTTTTTTTGCCATCAGGGGACAATACCTTCACTGGAATAAAAAAAATGAATATAGTTTGACCAACATTTGCTGATCTCGTCATTTTCACGTTTGTCAATTGCTGACGAGAACCTCGCACACAATACATCGGACTGCTATAGTTTTATAGTTATATACATTTTTGACAAAACAGATTTTTGCTTGGGATCAATGGCTGTCACCGTCATATGATAGTAAAGCAACAATTCAGCAAGATGCCCCTATATATGATTTTTAATAAAAGAAGAAGGAGAGAAAGAAGAGGAAAAAGAAGAGGAGGTTGAACAATAAGAAGGAGAAAGAAGAAAGAGCAACAACAAAAAAAGGAAACAGAATAGACGTATGAAGGAGAGAAAGAAGACGACGACAAACAAACAAACAAAAAAGAGGGAATGGAAAGTGGGGAGAATCTGCGTAGATACACTGGAATCGCCTGGAAAGAGAAAGGAGGAGAAGAAGAGAAGAAAAAAGATTATAAAGAGAAAAAGGAAAAAGAAAGAGAGGAAGCAGACGATGAAGAGAGAAAGGAAAAAGATGGAGAAAGAAAAGAAAGAAGAAAGAAGGAAAGAACATAATGAGAAAGAAAGAAGAGGATAAGGAAGTGGCGGAAGAAAGAAAGAAAGAAAGAAAGAAAGAAAGAAAGAAAGAAAACGAGAGGAGTATAAGTGGAGGAATAAGCGAAGTAAGAAGGAAAATAAAAAATTTTGAAGAGTTTAAAGAAGTTGGGAGGAAGGAAAATGAAGCACTAAAGAAGAAAAAAGAAGTGGAGGAAGAAAGAGAAACAGAAGGGGAGAAAAGAGATATGAGAAAAAAGAAATCAAGAACATTGTTGTGAAACTTTATACATTCACAAGTATCATCTTCAAAATTAATGGGAAGAAGAAGTTGAAGAAGAAGAAGAAGAAGAGCAAGAAGAAGAAAAAGAAAATAAAAGAAGAAAAAGAAGAGTGATGAGAAACATCACAGATAAAAAAAGTAATCTTAAAGAAGTCGTGTAATGTGCCGAAAAATTGAAGTGAAAAATCAACTGTAAACAAAATAAATGGAGAGATTTTACAAGTAAGGAACAGACATGTATGTTCAGTTCCCCAGCCCTATGATTTCAGACACACTATACTTATAAAGAAGTTTGCAATTTTATTTAAAGATATAACTCAGTCAATGTACGATGACCAAGTAATATATTCGTGTGAGTATGTGCATGTGTGTCTGTGTGTGCGCGTGTATTTTCACGTCATTGTTATTATCATTGTGTGTGGTTTTATGTACAGATGTGCATGTGCGTCTGTGTGGAGTAGTGGAATAGATGGATGGACGTGTATAGACGTGTGCACACATAATCGTTTCATTATCAGTTTATATATATATATATATATATATATATATATATATATATATATATATATATATATATATATATATATATATATATATATATATATATATATATATATATATATATATATATATATATATATATATATATATGTATGTATATATATATATATATATATATATATACATATATATATATATATATATATATATATATATATATATATATATATATATATATTTTATGTTTATACATTCTTTTTAAAGATACAAATATTTAAATAAATACTCTGTTTATAATAAACAGTATTAAATAACATTTACCGGCCTGAATGTCCGAGAATTCTTCAAAGAAAATATTCGTCCCCTGACAGGAAACGGACCTGTATCCTATACAGAACCGTCATATAGCCTGACGTGCCTTAACCTATTGAGGCACAGAGGATCGTTCGTTTACCAAGGTCAATTTTACTGCTTTTAAACTACAATCTTCCATGAATCTCTCACGTACATTCATATCTGCTCAAAGCGTAGCCAGATGTAAACAAATGACGCCACACATTATGAAATGGGCAAAGTCCGACAATTATTATAAGACATTTTTATGTTTATACATTCTTTTTATAGATATAAATATTTAAGTAAATGCTCTGTTTATAATAAATAGTATTACTAACATTTACCGGAACTGTCAGAGGACGAATATTTTCTATGAAGATTTCTCGGACATTTAGGCCGGTAAATGTTATTAATATTGGATCACTAGAAGAATCCTTGTATTAATCGCATAATGTGTATTTTATTATTTTATAATCGCTAATTAATACAATTCCTGTTTGGATCCTGATCATTAAGAACTCACTAAACTCTGAGTCGATAAGTCGAAATGGAGGTCAGCACCCAGCTTAAATGCAATATTCAGCCACACGCCGACGGCCTAAAGATTGTGCTTAAGCATGAAACAAACTTTCGCCCCTGGGTGTTGACTCAATGTTCACTTTTATATTTACACTCTATCCCTGATATTGAGCAGGCTAAACCATAAAAATAGCATAGCTTAAAACTACATCTTTATCATATATATATATATATATATATATATATATATATATATATATGCATACAATAGCTTAAAAGCCGTCCTATCGGTCGGCATTTATGCTAGCTACTGCGGAGGGTTCTTGATTGGACCTTCATTGCAACAGGTAGGGAGGAGTAGATGCAATAGGCAACAATAAACTACAGAAGAACTTAAAATTGATCGCTGCATTTAAATATTGCATTAATATTTAAGCTTGCCTTTTAAAAGTTAAACAATAATTCTGCGGCCGACATTTAATTTAAAGACAATTTGATGTACGTAGGTTCGTACTTTCCGTACAAACAATTATTTTTATTTCATATGTGACTTTCGCTGGATTTAGCAATTAATTTCGATTATTTCCAAATTTATTAACCAGTTATAAAAATTTTTATCGTACAAAAAATTAGTCCCAAAAAATCACGAAAAAAATTGCCGGAAACAATTGCAGTAATGAAAACTTGGGAAACAAAATTTCAGTATTGTGGGTCTGGATCCGATCCGGAATGGTTTTAATTTGCTCACGGATTTGGCCTGATTTCAAAAATCGTATGATATGTTGGGCTACGGTCTCTAGGAGTAAAGTTGAAAAAGTGTGACACGGTGACACACTGGTATTCGCATTATATATATATATATATATATATATATATATATATATATATATAAGTGAACATAGAAGTCAACACTTAGTTGTTTTTATGCTAGATGCATTCCTCAGTGGCCTGAGGATTGCATCTAGCATGAAACAGACTGTCGCCTCTAAGTGTTGACTTCTATGTTCACTTTATATTTACACACGGTATATCTCTGATATTGAGCACTTTATCCCATAAATATAGCACATCTTAAGACTATATTTCTTCATATATATATATATATATATATATATATATATACGCGTATGTGTGTCTGTATGTGCAAAGAGAAAGAGAGAGAAAGAGAGGTATATATACCAGAAAATACGACTATTAACACATTTTAAAGAATGACATATGCCTTTCAAAAAGCGACCATTTAAATGGAGAAAAACCCAAGGGTAGACTAATACCCGAGGTAGATGATAACTCATTTATTGACCCCCAATTCAAAGAGCTATATATGAGATATATTTGGAAATACGCTTTGATGGACAATAACTTGAAGACTACCTAACATAATATTACGCGGCATGCTGTAAATTTAAGTCTAAATTACTCATTTCTTTTTCATCTATCGACAGCATCATTAAAATGGCAACTTTCAAGCCAAAACAGGAAATAAAAAGGCTATGTTCGGGCAACAGCTGCACCGAAAAACCCCCAAAGTATAAAAATGACTCAGAGATTCAAAAAAATATAAAAAAACTCAAAGATTCAGAAAATGCCTAACTCCTTTGTGATTAAGGTCAAGATAGAGCTGGATGTCAATGGAAAGAACATGTCATACCTAAGAAAAAGAATCAAACATTTCAAACAAGTAAATTCATACTAAGTGTTACCAATATCGACAGTTGTTCATCTTCCTCAAGACTTCACCCTTTGGATGCCTCTTACTGCAATGGAATAAGCGCTACCTGGTGGCATGGGCTCCTGGTGTTTAGCATAACAAAATCGCATATAAAAGCATGTATCATAAAGTTTGACCATCTTAACAGATGATCACGTTGAAGCACCGGTTCTCGTACGAACACCGAAGTTAAGCAACGTTGAGCCTTTCAGTACATAAATGGGTGACCGCTTACTAGGTACTGTAGGTTGCAATATGCGGATGGTGCAATAGATAGAATTCCAATTTCAGTCGGGTTCCTTATATTCATTTACGCGCAAATACACCTGACAAAGGTATGACTTTACCTCTTCTCTCCCACCTATGGGTTAATTAGTAGAACTTGTATCAATAAATCATTATTATCACAAAATTGTTAGTATCTAAAAGTATTTTTACAACTTAAATTAACTGCAAAAAGTTGACAAGGCATAAAAAGCAAGTCAATAGGATGGTATTTGTGTTTATACAGGATGGTATTTGTGTTTATACAGGATGGTATTTGTGTTTATACAGGATGGTATTTGAGTTTGTATAGGATAGCATTTGAGCTTATAGGAAGATATTTGAGTTTGTATAGAATGGTATTTGATTTTATTAAGGGTTGTATTTGAGGATATACAGAATGATTGTTGAATTTATATAGAATAGTACTTAAGTTTAGATAGGATGGTATTTGAGTTTATATAGGATGGTATTTGAGTTGATGCAGGACGATATTTAAGTTTGTATATGATGGTATTTCAGTTTATATAGGATGGTATTTGAATTTATATAGAATGGTATTTGAGTTGATATAGGATGGTATTTGAATTTGTATACGATTGCATTTGAAATTATAAGATGGTATTTGACGGTATAGAATGCGATTTGAATTTATATAGAATGTTACTTGAGTTTGTATAGGATGGTATTTGAGTTGATATAGGATGGTATTTGATTTGTGTCGGATGTTATTTGGTATCTGAGGTGAAGCTACTTACAGAATCAGTAAAAAAACTTCTGGAAACTTCTATCCTCCACAAGAATTTATTTGTGTGAGATTAGAATAATTCTTGGCTAGAGCCATTTTGATTTCGTAAACATTTTTCGGGTGAATCGCCACAGAGATTCAACATTTTATTGCCGATGTACATTTGCATCAGGTGGATCGACTTTTACTATTTTATATAAAACTCAAGGCAAGACTTTTAAAAGAAATATGCGATCGGAATACTACAGGAAGTAAATAAATCTAAGGGAGATAATTCAGTATTTGGAATGTGACATCCAGTTGTTAAAAGCAATGATAACTTTTTTCAGAGTGCCTCGTCCAAAGACGGAAACAATTTAAATTTCGCTTAGCAGCCACCAATTTAAAAGAATATCCATGGAGGGAAATTTAACGGTTGTCAGCCTGCGATTAAAATTCACGAGGAAAAAGAACAAACGAACATGTAGCTATTTACTTGACCCCCCCCCCCCCACTGAGTCAGGATGTGACACACGGTCAGTTTTTAAAGTGGGGAACCCGAATGTTTCCACTCGGGTCACTGGTCTAAACCTGGTCTTAGCTGGTCATAGCTTGCCTAAGCTGGTCGAAGCTAGTCATAGCAGTGATACTTACCAGCCCAGGGACGAGCCCTGTGCCAGGTAAGTATATGTATATTACATGAAGATGCATTTTCTAGAAGATTACATGGATAACGATAATTGCTTTGCTTTTAAAGAGAAAGTGTTTTCAGGCAAACATCGGGAATTCATTTGCCTGATCTTTTGAATATATTACGAGACCAGCACATGTCATTTGATATCTGTGTTTCACCCAGGGAAGAAAACGATCATTTTCTGTGATATTATTGCTCATTATTACTTTCTCTCTCTTTCTATGACTTACTTTTTATTCCCATCTAGCATGGTTACTCGGCATTGACTGGGCCAAGTTATTTTCTTTCGCTATGTGATGCCATGCAGACGCTTCTTTGTTCCACAGCTCTGCATATACCGTAAAATCGTTTAAGCGTAATTGCCATAATTATATGAGCTCAATAATTTATAAAAGTTTTCATTTCTTTTGTATCCGGCATATTTTCATAATATAATTTATAACATTTCTTAGATTTTTCGAAACTATGCTATATTTTTTTAAAATAATCATTTAATCACAAGCAAGGCGATAATGCCACTAAGACACGAGATAATAAGAAAGAATTTAGAGCAGAGAAAGGATAACAAAAGATTATGAATCGAGCAGATGAGAGAGAGTGATGGATGTTGTGTTTAAATTTTTGAAGAATATGTCTTTTAAATTAAAGACCCTCTTTGACCGCAGTCATCATCATCGCCACGACCTAAAGAGAGAAAAGAACAAAGTTAAAATTTTGACGAATGTATGTGACAGGGAAGCAAGAAACCGGAAGTGAGTTCCACAGGTGAGAAGTGTGAGAAAAAAACTTTTAGAATAGAACTTACGGTTGCATCTCGCTAGTTCAACAGTAAAACGATGAGACCTAGTTGCCAATCTAGTACTGCGCTGACATTCCTGAGGTTGAGATAGCGAGGATTGATTGACTGTTTTTATTTTTTACAGCTTATCAACCCTTTGCAGGTTATTTAAAGTCGGGAGATATTTTTAGATTGTAAAATTTGGGTGTGTGGTTAATAATGGTTAGTGATATAAGTCTAACGAATTAACTCATAGCTGGAGGGAAATGATGTGGATTCATACCTTTCCTAAAAAGTATTTTCCCGCACGTGAATATAACGGACCCAAAGGGAGTTAGAACTCGACTCTCCGATTAACAATTCTGGACTATTATCCATTACACCAACCGCATATCCAAGCTACTGCACCTGGTATTCACAAGTGGTCACTCATCCAGGTGTTGACTAGGCTCGTCGTTGCTTAACTTCGGTGATCAGATAGATAGATAGATAGATAGATAGATCCATCAATCGATATTCATCGAACAGAAAGCTACAGCAGGGGACACCTGGTGTGGCTATATAGCTCACGTGACGTGCCTCAATATAACTATGTATATAAGCACTAATGATTTCTCTCATTAGCACACATACAAACACCCACGACTCTGTACACCTGTACATGTGCCAATAATTGTATTTACTGTACATCGGCAACGCACATCATTAATGCAACCACGGGGCCAGGTTCAATTTAATTTCTCTGGTGGAGATGCTGAAAAACACTCTGCCCAACCAAGAAACCCTTTCAGAAAAAAAAATGTCTGATATTTGGTCATTTCGTCAGACAATGCGGAGTGTATCGGGACGAGAACTTTTCAGCACTTTTCCTCATAGTGTATCAATTTTCATTCCCCCCGATCGAACGATCGAACCTAGATATTAGAGATGACACTGAATCACCTCCTGATGTGTGGGTGGGAGCCAATCTTATGTTTATTGTAGGCGCAGGCGCCATCTTATAGAGCGTAATTGTTTCAATGAGGATAGAAAGAGTCGACGCGTGGGGAAGAGAATCCGCACAAAAGATAATCGATTGTAATGAAGTCTTTGGCAAGATTGGCCTGCCCATTGCGCCTGCGCGTCCATTAAGAGTCACGCATCTGTCAGAGATCCACCAATTGGCGCATTTTTCTCCCGTGTCTTTACTATCAACACGCGATAATTGTATTATTGGTCTCGAAGCTGAGAAGAAAAGATTTATCTATCTATCTCATTCAGTATCTATCTATCTATCTATCTATCTATCTATCTATCTATCTATCTAAGACTTCACATCTATCTATCTATCTATCTATCTATCTATCTATCTATCTATCTATCTATCTATCTCATTCTGTTCCTTCATCTATCTATCTATCTATTTATCTAAGACTTCACATCTATCTATCTATCTATCTATCTATCTATCTATCTATCTATCTATCTATCTATCTATCTATCTATCTATCTCATTCTGTTCCTTCATCTATCTATCTATCTATTTATCTAAGACTTCACATCTATCTATCTATCTATCTATCTATCTATATATCTCATTCTGTTCCTTCATCTATCTATCTATCTATTTATCTAAGACTTCACATCTATCTATCTATCTATCTATCTATCTATCTATCTATCTATCTATCTATCTATCTATCTATCTCATTCTGTTCCTTCATCTATCTATCTATCTATTTATCTAAGACTTCACATCTATCTATCTATCTATCTATCTATCTATCTATCTATCTATCTATCTATCTCATTCTGTTCCTTCATCTATCTATCTATCTATTTATCTAAGACTTCACATCTATCTATCTATCTATCTATCTATCTATCTATCTATCTATCTATCTCATTCTGTTCCTTCATCTATCTATCTATCTATTTATCTAAGACTTCACATCTATCTATCTATCTATCTATCTATCTATCTATCTATCTATCTATCTATCTATCTATCTCATTCTGTTCCTTCATCTATCTATCTATCTATTTATCTAAGACTTCACATCTATCTATCTATCTATCTATCTATCTATCTATCTCATTCTGTTCCTTCATCTATCTATCTATCTATTTATCTAAGACTTCACATCTATCTATCTATCTATCTATCTATCTATCTATCTATTCATCTATCTATCTATCTATCTATCTATCTATCTATTTATCTCATTCTGTTCCTTCATCTATCTATCTATCTATTTATATCTAAGACTCTATGTATCTATCTATCTCTATCTATCTATCTATCTCATTCTGTTCCTTCATCTATCTATCTATCTATTTATCTAAGACTTCACATCTATCTATCTATCTATCTATCTATCTATCTATCTATCTATCTATCTATCTATCTATCTATCTATCTATCTCATTCTGTTCCTTCATCTATCTATCTATCTTGGTATCATCACATCTCTGTCTCCTCGAATCCTGTTCTTTTATCTTCTCTGTTTCATTCACTCTTAGTAACTCTTTGCGTCTTAATGGATATTTTTTTTATTAATATTCGCCTTATATAAGACCCAAGAGCCACTCAATGCAGAGGGTTACTGAAAGCATTTGTTGCATGAGCGTTAAGTGTAAGATGCACAGTTCATGAGTATATGTGTGTGTGGGGGTAACGGTTAACTCTAGACTTGAACAGATTCAGATTGTAGCAGTCGGGAATGGGGGGGGGGGAGGGGCTCGTTCGCCGCACTGTTCGTGGCATGACGAGTCCTACCTCTGAAGGTTAGAACTGGTTGAATGAAGCAAAGAAATGTAGCTCGTCTGAACATTTTGCAAGGAAATAGCGACAGAGTAGCGATAGACTTGCAACGTTTCCGGCTATTGGAAAGGGGTTGTAGACTGGAAAATAATTCATCACCCATAAGGCTGCATAGACCCTTTCAAGACTGGAAATTGAGGACTGGGCATCTTCAGCCCTGATATGGTAGCAGGACTGTATAGATAGAGAATAGCAGAAGGAGCTATGTGTGTGTGTGTGTGTGCGGGGGGGGGTGGTTAACTGGAGCGGTACAGAGAACTGACTATTTTACCAGTTTATTTAGCGATAAATTGTCTATACTGGTTCCACTTGATATCTGGGGTAAGTCCCATTAGGCGTAAAAAGTAATTAGGGCCTCCTTGAGAGAACAACCGTTCATTGCCACAGACGAAAATTCACGGGCTGCTTGGTGATGTTATAATGTTACTTGTTTGGTTTTGGAGGTATTGAATCTGACCAGTCATTTTTTTCTACTCGTTTAGTTGTAAGAGTTAAGTAATAGGTGTTAATTATAAGCAGAAGATTTGATAAAATAATATAAATTTTTGTTTTAACCACATTTTTTTTCAGCTAACTACAATTGGTTTCTGAACCAAGGATTGAGTGATTCTGATATAAAGATTAAAATAAATTAAATTTGGAATGAATATCACAATGAAATTAAGAAGATGCAGAAATTTAACTGGAGTAACTGATAATGGGAAGTGCAACACAAAAATCCAAAGGTGTAGAGGAAAAGATGCCTTTCAGCAACTAAGAAAATAAGAGATGGAAAAATATTAGAAACAAAGAAAAGAATGCCAAACTATTATGTAATGCCTAATTTCCTATATATCAGTGAATGCTAGACACTCTCTACATGCCTTTCAGAAAGTAAGCAAAATATTAAGAAACAGGAAAATGTCCTTAGAAACAAAGAAAAGAGTTCTGAACTGCTACATAATATCTAATCTCCTATATGCTGGACAAACTACTCATGCCTTTCAGAAAGTAAGCAAAGTATTAAGAGATAGGAAAATGTCCTTAGAAACAAAGAAAAGAGTGCTGAACTGGTATGTTATATCTAATCTCTTATATGGCAATGAATGCTAGACAATCTCCTCATGCCTTTCAGAAACTAAGCATAGTATTAAGAGATAGAAAAATGTCGTTAGTAACAAAGAATGCAAAAGAAGAAAGAATCTCTGAAGCGTATCTAAAGGAGATTACCTGTATAGTTATAGTTAGACGAAGGTAACATAAAAATATCGGCCTACCAAGTATGTTACGGTCATTGAAAATACATGAATTTTTAACCTTTTTAAAAAATTACCTATGTCTCGTACGGCCTCTTATTTTTTGCGTAAAAAATCTGACCATAAAAACTCGCCCTATACTCGAGTGTATGCGATAAATAAAATTTAGACATGAAAAGATATTGATAAAACCTAAGCCACACTGGCGCTATTTTGTATAACTTCAAATAAATATGTAAAAATCATATTGTCTGTTGTCATCTTGAGTACATTGGCGATTATGGCTCTCCCTGTCCTTTTTAGCTCTTGGCACTGTTAATCTTTTTGTTATCTCCCCTTAATCCCTGTGCTGCCAACCATTTACATAAACATGTTCGGTAGATTATTCGCTGCTTTCCTCTCTCCTTCTTATATTGAATATAACCTGTGAATGTCGAATTTTCCAAGCCTCTTTTCAACTACTTTTTATTAATTCTAAGTGTCTTTTATTGTTTCCATTTTCCCTAAAACCTCGTTGTTGATCATATGTTTAGTCAATGGTAGTCTTAGCATCCTTCTGTAGAACCACATTTCTTTTGTTTCAAGTCTCGTCTTCATTTTTGATGAGATTGTCCAGTATTCACTGTAGTATCAGTCCTCTTCTAAGAGGACTGATACTACATAACAATCCACTTTGTAACGTAATTTTCCTGTTTCTTAATATTTTATTTAGCTTTTTGAAGGCGTGTTCCGTTATCGCAATGCGCTTTCGGATATTTTTTGTTCTTGCCTCATTTGACCATTTCGTGGTCCGCATCCTGAGCTTTTCCTTTTGTTGACAGCCATATATTCTGTCTTCTTACGATTGATAATTAGTCCTTTATTCTCGCTTTCCTTTACTACCTTTTTTAGGAGTTCCTGTAGCTTCCTTATCGTACCTGATATCAACCCTGTATCGTCAACGTATATTGCTAAGCTTGTGGCACCCAATAAGGAATTTTCTTAGGTGAAAGGACGCAGCCTTGTCTTAAGCCCGGTTCTATTTTTGTCTATTTACTGAATTCACTTTCTACAGCAAGGTAATAAAGCCACTAAGACTGAATGTGAAAGAATATGAAAAACTATGAAGGATCGCGATCGATCGCGAATCTCGTGACCCATCAGTCTCGTAGGGGCACTCACGTACTACAGCCGCAGTATAAGTGGTATTTCTTGGGCAAGATAGCCTGACGATGTCCAACACCCTCCCGGCCGGTTTTGAATTCAGAGTTTCCTTCTCCTGGACCAGTTGCCACCCAAGGCTATAGAACTGCTATTTACCCATAGCTGGGGGGGGGAGAAAAAGAGAATTCATACCTTTCCCAAGGGTATTAGCACCGAAGTGAATGTAATAGATCTGACTGGTATTCCTGAATTTACTCGGTTCTCTGATTCTTCAATCGGCTCGGCTCTTCGTTTTATCAATCCGCTATCCATTACTCCACGCCTATGAAGGCCAATAAAAGAACATGAATTAAGCAGACAAATAATAACGATTGACATTCATTTAAATTATTTGAAAGTTGACTTTTGCAGTCAAAGTTCACTGGGATGCAAATAGCCGGAAAAGAGTTCCATAAGACGAAGTGCGAGAGAAGAAACTACTTATCATAGAACTTAACAGTTACATCTAGCCGTTTCAAATGTAAGTACTACGCTTAAATTCATAATGCCTACGTACAAAGGAGGAAAGTTTATCAGTGCATTTACTATAAAAATATTTATAGAAAAACCACAGAGACGCAAGGTTTCAGCAGTAGTAAAGTGACTGAAGTCGAGATGCCAGGTCAGGACAAATAACATTGCAGATTATTCTTCAAGATGATAGTATGAATATGTTAAATTTTTAACGTCTGCTGAAATCCATTCTTGTTTTACTCATGATGCTTTTAAAAGTAAAGTACAGTTATTTTATGTTTTTCTTTCATCTTCTTTTTTGTTTTGGTTTTATGTAGAGAAAAATTTCCTTTTAATCCAACCTGTTTTTTTTTTTTAAATGTTTATCACGTGCATTACACATTCTGTTCTTGTTCGACACGAAGAAAATCGATAAAATGTCGATGTTACGTTTTAGGTACAGAGTAAAAAAATTTTTGTAGTCGGTGTACGTGCGCACGAATACAACGCTGACATTATTCACTTATAATTTTTGAAAGAATAGTTTTCTCATGAATAATTAAAATTCACTTATTTCCCGACATCCTCCCTTCAAAACGTTCCCTAATTTTTAAGTTTATATTTTACAGAGACAAAAAACGATAAACGTAAACCCAAAAACTCAGATAGATATTACTTGGGATTCTCAATATATATATATATATATATATATATATATATAAAATTACGCAATAAAACTATAATGTATTAGAAAGATGTAAAATGAAAACCAATATGCAGAGCCCAGAATTGTATATTATAAAATTTACTTCCCATGTACCGTTTCGCTACTGACAGTTTCAAGAAGAGTATTGGGGAAAATATATGACAAGGTTTACTTGTATCGTGTTTCGTCCTTCAGGACATCTTCGGACTAAATTGGTTATGTTGGTGCCACTGCACATGCGCACGAACAAGGGGTGCTGAGAATTTTAGAATTTGTTTCTTTTATGTCTCCGAATTCATTTATAGTCTTTTTCTTTCCATTCCTTTTGTCAATAGGTATCCCACACTGTTATATATATATAAGAAATGGACAAAGTCCGACAATTTATTTATTAAAGACATTTTATGTTTAACGTTCTTTTTTATAGATACAAGTATTTAAGTAAATGCTCTGTTTATAAACAGAGCATTTACTTAAATACTTGTATCTATCATGTGTGTACAATCGTGAGCCACTAATATTTATGAACTTTCCATATCTATTAGTACTTGCCGATTGTACACACATTGAAACTCTGAGTCGTACAAATGACGTAGGTAATATATATATATATATATATATATATATATATATATATATATATATATATATATATATATACACAACAAGAAGAATCCAGAACTATTTGCAGAACTAACAGACCTACTTAACAAGAATGATAAAATGATAAATATACTAAAAGCAACCAAAATAATTGTTATAGTGGAACACACCTATTCTATAGTTAATAGACTCTCCCACCTATAATAAGTAGGAGTAGTAAGAGTAACGAGGGAGTCGCTCAGGGGTTCGGTCAGTCAGTCGATGCCGGACGACCGTTGGTCGGATACTAAAGTATCAGCGACCACAACTAGATTTACTCTGCGTCATTACCTATTATATCAAATTCGTAGCGTTTTGTACGTCGAACCTATTTTAGGACCGACTTAGTGCAAATACAAGCCTCCACTGGGAAACCACTCCATAACAATAATTAAAAGCTAACGGCAATCAAAAAAAAACTAAAACACATAT